GAGAAGTGGTGGTCCTCTTTGCTTTCACATTACTCAGTATTTATTAGTATTTTTCTCAAACAAACCTATCGGTTTGCTAAAGAAGACATTGATTCATCAACTCGAGTTGTTTGGATTACCATTGTGTTCGTTTTGCGTGTTTTTGAAGTGTCGAGAAATCTGTCCACTTTCATTACATGGACTCACAGGAATGGTTTATTTTTCTAAAAATCGGTTTGTGTTCATCTGAAAAAAGAAGATATACATCTGGGAACGGCATGAGGATGAGTAAATGATGAGAGAATTTTCATTTTTGGGGGAAGTATCCATTTATACTCCTTAAAATACAATGCTTGACCAAAGAGCATGTCAAGCTTGTCAAAACAGAACCAAGTTTACTTGTCTCTGGCCACCTTGTGTTGCTCTCTATGTGACATACTCTCAGACAATACTGTCAGGATAGAAAAGCAGACAGCATCCTATTCCCACATCAGTTTGTTCTTGTGCTGTAAATCTAGCTCCCTGTAATGCTTGTAATGTTATACAGGGCGATCCGGTTCACCGGCAGGCCTGGATAATTATAACCCAGCCTGTTGTCTCTCTACCTCGGGTGTTGGTCAGCTTGGTTCCGAGTTCCTGGCCTCAGAGCGCTTGTCTTTCTAGAACTTGAGCTGACAGACGGTAGCCCAAGGAAATCAGAGAGCGTGCACGGGATAGACCTGGATAGAGTGTGCAGGTGAGATCGGCCTCAGAAAGGAATACAGCGAAACCTTACCTTTGACACCCGACTTAATAGTTTTGGATGAAAAATACATGAGCTAAATTTATGCCAAGCAGAAACTGTCAGAATAATTCCATAGAAAACAAGTGTAACTTTTTCAAAAACTGTGTGGAATGGTTATCATGTGCTAATTTAACCTGTTAACCTGCAACCCCATTTTTGAAAAATCCCCAGATATGGCATTCCCAAACCGAAACAGATACAGTTCATGAACCCTTTGTACTAAAAGCACAAGTAAGATCTCATTTGAAAGCTGACACCTGGAAGTTTATTGTAAATGTAGAATTAATTATTGTCATAATGAAAAAAAATAGTTATAAATAGCTTCAAAGTTTTGTAAAATTATTATACATTTATTTTTATGAAACATCTTCATGAAAATAAAATTGAAGTTGGCATTGTAGCAATCTAGAAATGCACTGCAGCTAAAGCCACATGTCTGGCCATGTTATATTTAAAATCTGAAGATGATAAGTCTAAAACTCTGTATTTAGTTCAATGTTTTTCAAGATCATGTCATATGACTTTATTTTGATTAGACTGGTGTTTATTGTCATCTTATAAGCATCTATTCAGTCTATTGCCTCTATTGTTTTGTGATGCAAAAACGAGCCCCATTCAGTGTCAGTCTCCCCTGCACATATTCACACCTCTCCACCCTGATTATTGCTCTAAATATGCTTTTCTTTTGTCTGCATTATAATCACTAACGACTAGCAATTCACACTGTTTCAATCCCTCATTTCTTTTATAAAAGTTCTCACTTCACAGTGAAACTGTATCAAATGCCCTTTTTGAAAAACGAAACATTTTAGTAAGCATTCTTATTTAGAAAAAAAATCATAAAAATTACACCGAAGTTAGGTAGCAGGTGCTCAGTACTAGCTAGCATGTTAGCTTAGCACACCATCAATACACGACAATTTATGAGAATAAAACTATGTTTGTGCTCCAAACTTACTTTACAGCGCAAGTCGAGTGTTTTTAATAACTTTCTGTAATCTGATTTGGCTTCAGATAAAAAAATCAGATAGAAAATATATTATTTTATTGTATTCTGCACAATTTGAAAGTCTATCTCGATTAGCATTACATTATACATATAATCTATTATTATGAAAATACCTGACATGACTCGAAGAACACAGGTAAATCAAATATCATTGCAATCATGTTTATTGTCTTCAAAACATCTTTATCTGCACTTTACAGCGATCTCTGATAGCTTTGTTGTGTCAGGACTTCCTGAATGTCACATGATTATGGCTCTTCTTCATGTGATCCATATATGGACTTTACTGTGCAACAGCGCCCCAGACTTCAGTATGAATGGATAACACAGTAAATCAGAGTATACAGCGCTCAAAATGATTACATCGACGCATTTGGGTATAAATTCAATAAATATTATTCCTGTCTATAGAAATCTGATGTAAACTTATGAGAATCTATCAATATTTCTCCAAATCTGCACATGTTTGAGCTAAAAGCCCTGAGGGACGTTGTTTTGTCAAGCGCTGTCATGACGATCGCACGGGAGTTTTTTTCTGAATGAGAGCAGCTGACGCTCATAATTCATATTAAAGGTAACGACTCGTTTTTTAATTTCATAACTCCTGACACAAATTAAGACATAACTGTCACTATAAGTTTCTCAGAATACAATAGTGGTCAAATACTGAAACTTGAGTCTTATATCGTTTTAATGATGTATAGTTTGTCAAGTTAATAACATTAAATATGATAGTAACTTTGAACTATTTAAAAAAAAAACGCTTCAGAGCGCCCACGCACTGGTGACGGTTAACAGGTTTAACATGCAATTAATTTAAACATTGCTGAAAAATACCCCTTAGAGTCCAATTAACTATGAAACATAAAACTATGAAATATAAAACTTCCTTTACACATGATGGTGCTGAGGAAGTGACTGTGCCTTTATTTCAGGAAGTGCCTATTTTAACAGACTTCCTGTTACTGCAAACTATGCAATGCACCGAAACACACACAAAGATATTAGCTTGTTTTGTCAAGAGATTTTGCATAATCTAAAGAGATAGTATCTCATGGATCATTTCTTGATGGAGCCCTGCACATAACATGCGGACAAAAATATATATCATGACAACAAATTAAGAATTGTTCTCTTGTTTTAGTAAATCATGGCCATGAATTTAGAATGTGTTCCCTCATTTAGTAAATCATGGCCACATTGAACTAATTCGTTCCTTCGTTTTGATTCAACTAAAACAAGGGGGAACGAGTTAGTAAAACTATAAGTCGTGGGAATTAATTGTTAATTTGTGGCCATGATATACTTTTTTTCCCCCACATATCATGTGCAGGGCTCCGTACATATCACATGGAAATGAAATAAGCAAAATACAGATGGAAAAAAAAGTACCTGATCTACCTTGTCTAGGAAAATATGGCTACCATTTACTCTCTAGACCTTTTGATTTGGAAACTTATATTCACCGATCAATAGTATGTTTTTTTTAAGGAATTAATACTTTTATTTAGCAAGGACACATTAAATTGGAGAGTAAAGACATTTAATCTTACAAAAGATTTATATGTCATATAAATGCTGTTCTTTTCAACTTTCGATTCATCAAAGAATCCTGAAAAAAAAGTATCACGTTTCCACAAAAATATAAAGCAGCATAATTTTTTCATTTTCAAGATATGTTTCTTGGGCACCAAATCAGCATATTACAATGATTTCTGACACTGCAGACTGGAGAAATGGCTGCTGAAAATTCAGCTTTGCCCTCAGAGAAATAAATTACATTTTAAAATATATTAAAATAGAAAGAAGTTATTTTAAATAGCAAAAATATTTTATAATATTACTGGTTTTACTCTATTTTTGATTTTTTTTTTAAATCATTCTTTCTCAAAAGGACACTCATATAGCAATTAAAAAAAAAAAAATCTAAGTAAAACAATTACAACTGATGCCAACCTATAATAATATGACTCTACCATAATGTCAAAACTAGAGCAACTCCTAAAGTTGGTCTACAACCTCAATCCCAGCAAATAAATCTTTCTAGACCCCTTCTAGTTTCCCTCTTTTAAATACAAGAGAGCAGACAGAAAGCAGATATATCTCAGCGTGTGTTCCCGCTGGCGCAGGACCTCCTCTCAGTCTCGGCATGAGTCTGCCTGGAGCACTTTCCTCAGAGGCCTGTTTAGTCCTGCGGGGCTGTTAATTCATCCATATGGATGAGATGGTCGCCTGTCGCAGCTGCATCAATGTGGGTCAGGCTGTCATAGAGGTGGCCTAGTTTTAACTACCTGTGCCACTTTTTTAGTGGGATCTGTCAGAGCTCCAGGGTAGGAAGGATCAAGGTGACTGAGTCTAATCATTACTTTGTGGGTCCATAAATAAATTTAGGTGAAACTCTAAAAATGTGAAATCGTTATAGCCAATTTTCTGTTGAGATTAAATCAAACCCATATGACAGACTACTGATGTCAAAAATACAGGTACCTAGTCGATACTACCACAGTGTCTACACTGGACATGACAATTGTCATGGACAAAGCGACCATTGCAAATCTATTTGTTCTTCATATTAGAAGTATCACAAGCATTTGGAGTAAGTCAGAAATAGGGACATCAGTTTCGGGGACTTGTTGTGTCGTGTTGCATCCAGTGTAGATAGCATCGCTAATTATAATGGGTTCTATTTGCTATTGTCGTATCGCGTCACTTGCATCTGGTGTAGACATGGTGTGAGAGTAAAAAACAAATTTAACAATACCTACCACGAGTGTATTTGTCTTACTGCACTGGTAGATTTAATTTTAACCCAAGTATAAAAGTCAAAAACAAGTGAAAATAAAATCTGTCAGTGCAGTAAGAGTAAGACAAAATACACTTCTTACAGCCCAATCACATTTAAGAATGAAATTTCAGTAAAATTTTGTAAAAAAAAAGTTCAATAATGTAGAGATGCATAAAGGTCACTTTCAATACAAGCAGCTTCCTATTGGTCATGTGCCAGTTCAATCAAACTTGTGTGGGGAAATTTCCACCAGAAGTCCATCAGGCAAAATAATAATTCCCCGCAAAATTTCGCCAAGCAACACTAAATGAGATCACATCTTTAATACTTATGCTGTTTTGCTTCTCAGATAAATCTTCTTTTAAGCATATCAGTATTTGTCTATGACCTTAGCATAGATAGCGCCATGATCCTACTTTAATGAAATATGAATCTCTGCTCACCTCCTCAATATAGCTTTCCATGAAGGATCCACGAAACATGGCTGCCATCCAATCACAGCTTGAGATGAGCAGTGGCTTGTGTGCTGGCAGATATCCGTCATCTAATCGAAACACCACATCTAAAACCAGGAGGAAAAGAGCACACATCTCGGCGTGTGTCACAGAGTCGAGGCTACAGAGGGGGAGACAGGTGGACGGACGAACACAAAGAGACAGACGAGAAGACAAATAGACACACAGACCGATAATAAATAGACAGATTGACAAGGCTAAGGATAAGAAGACAGAAAAAAGTGAAGGGAGGGCCAGACCATATAGGGGGCAATTTTATTTTAGCAGCGAATCCTTTAGAGACTGCCATGGATGACTCCACATGTTCACTGTTGCTCACTAAATACGTTAAACAACAGATGATGTTGGAAGGTTGCTTAGCATTATGCTGAAGGAATGAGGAGGGCATGTTGGGAAAACTGCACTTAATTAAATTCAATGCTGATTTTGACTCTGACGGGAAAAGCTAATAAATCTCTAATGATTTGGTTTCTAATCTTCAGCATACCCTTATATTGGGGACACACTTAATGACTAGCTGAAACATTCTAAGACTGAACTGAACACACTTACAGACTGTTTCCAACGACTGGAGCAGATTTTAAACAGCGACTGTGAACACAGACTGAATGCAACTGTCTCTGACTCTGCGCGTTTGGGTATGATCAGTCGTAAGTATCAAATTGCATTCATAATCGGCCTTACAGTCGTTAAGTGTGTCCCCGGCTTTAGGAAATGTACAAGTAGTCCTCTGGCTAAAATGGAGATGAAAAACATTCAGGTTTTCAAACATGAGAGAAGCAGCTTCATGGTTGAGTAATTCGATTATGACAATTGCAGAGGATGCAATGAAATAAACAGGTGTAAGTGGAGAGTACAGGAGTGTTGAGGTTAATTTTTTAAAGGTTAAATATGACAAACATGCACACAAAACACAAGACATGACAATAACAGAGATTAAGCGACACAGAACACCACAAAGCAGAAATGCAAACATGTTCACAATATGCAATTAATTGACAGCAAATGAAAGCAGATATTTTAAAGCACTCCACTGGGTATTTTCTCAAAACAACGACAACAACAAAAAACAGAGACTGAATGAAGGAAAGGAAAGACAAATTGTGCAAATTGACTACTCGACTACTAGAGTATAAACTTTTCTGTTCCATTTTGAATGGAAAATAGAACTCATGAGGCTCGAGTCAATGGTGTCACTACGAAAACCTTTTGAATGTGAGATTAGATATAGTCAATAACACCAGAACCTCCTGAAAAATCAGAATTATACTAATTAGGACAGTTAATTAGTAAAAAAAAAAATCAATTAGAACTTCATTAATTTTTTTCTCGTTCCCTCAGCAACATCAAAAGTTGTCAAAAGTCATTATAGTTGAAGATTGAAAACTGGAGAAAACACTTGATTCAGTTTCTCAGTGTTAAACGATAAAATAGATAGATAGCAGGGTATTTTCACAATACGATGTTGTGTCACAAAATGATATGAACTGATTTTCCTTATGAGTTTAATCTAACATCTACAATATAGACCTTGTTCAGAGCAGCGCCATGACAGGTATGAAAGTGGGGCTGTAAGTGATAGACTTACTGTGTTTTCAATGGCTTCCGCTGTAAAAAGCTATATAAAGCTCCTAGATCACAATTTTCCACAGCTCATGTTTTCTGGAGTTTTTTGCTACAAAATTTCTTGGAAAGATATTTTTGCAGTGTTTCTTCAGCAGAACAATCCCAAAACACATTAAATAACAGTACAACCCACTGAAGAGATCATACATGTCTATCCCCCACAGCCTCGCTTTCATTCCCATTGAAAATCAAAGATGGCGCTGCTTTGAATAAGATAGATAGATAGATACTATATTATTATTGCGTCCTCAGAGAAATACGTAATGCATGTTTGACCCTGATTTCAGATTGCCTACCAGCAAAGGCACCCTTGCTCAGGCACTCTTTGATCCGGTTGGCACGACGCACGTGGAAGGCTTTGGTGATCTCCTGGTTCATGAAGCTCTCACGGTTCAGCACGTTGGCCACCATCATACGCAGGTCGAAGACCTCTAGAAGCTCAGCGATGGTGGCAACCTGCATCAGATCCCCACGTTTCTCATCCAAGTGACCCGTGTAAAGGTACTGCAGCACTGCCTAAAAGAGCCGAGACAAGGGAAAACAGAAAATGTGACACCGCCGCAGAGATTTCATAGAGATTCTTATAAAACATGCAATGACATCATGGTCATCGCTATAATACTGTATGTCATCTAAAGGCCAATTCACAATGCACCAACAGACGCAGACCAACGGCGACAGTCACCAGATTACTGTACGTCACTTCTCAGACATTCACCGACGTGACAAACAGCGATTCAACGTTGAATTGGCCTAAACGAGAGCAGGCTGACGCCGACTCTGATCCGACAAAACCCGACAAAGTATCTGTTCCTGTCTGTCGGCATCTGTTGGTACAGTGTGAATTGGCCTTAAGTTTGTTCTTACCTGGAAAGGTCCTTTTTGAATGAGTTCATCCATGGACACTACTGTCATGAGTCTTGGCCGACCTGTCACAGGGTCATCCACCATCTCCAGGTAAACCCCCAGGAAACCACGCCCCCATCCCAAAAGAGCACGGCCTGCTCCCAGGGGTCCCAAAGAGCACTGGCCCCTTGCAGGCAGAGCGTTATCGCTCTGTGAAGTCCTCAGTGAGCCCTGCTGCAACATGAGCAGCCTATTTGAACCCCTAGTGCCACCTTCACCCTCCTTATCAATGTCCAGGCTCTTGGTACGCCCAGCCTGTTCTTTGGCTCCTCTTCGGCTCTGCTCCTCTTCCTCACTCCCCTCCGAGCTCTCCTCATCCTCCTTCTCCATCCCTGCCGCTCCAAGGTCCATAGTGAAAAGGTCATAGAACTTTGAGCAGGAAGTGGCCAGGTACATCTTGTGGGCAAAGACACGAGTGGCCCCGGCCTGGAGGAGGAACAGGACGTCTGCACACAACAGCTGGCAGAAAAGAGAGTCCGGACCTTCTCCATCCATTGGAGGAGGATCGGGGATGCCCACCACAGGTCGTGGTGGTCTGGGGGGGAGGAAGGGGGCCTGGAGGAGGGGACGCTGAACCTTCTTTAAATGGGACTTCCAGAACTGAAGGTGGCGTCGAGAGATGAGCGCAGCACGGATAGCATTGTCAAACACATCCTTTACACCGAACTGAGCGACAATGCTTGTTTCATAGTATGGAATGCCAAGTTCCTTAGCGACCTCATGGCCTCGTTCTGGGGGCAGGATATCTGTAGGTTTGATGGGTCTAGGAGGGGGACAGTTAAAGAAAAAACAGAAGCATTATTAAAGCCAGACAGACTATACACTACTATTCAAAAGTTTGAGGTCAGTAAGATTTTAATGTTGATTTTAATATTATCAAAAGACTCTTATGATCACCAAGGCTGCATTTATGAGATTAAAAAAAACAACAACAGTAAAACAGTAATGTTGTTGAATAATATTACAATTTAAAGGAACTGTGTTCTATTTGAATATATTTTAAAATGTAATGTATTCCTGTGATAGCAAAGTTGAATATTCAGCATCATTACTCCAGTCGTCAGTGTCACATGATCCTTCAGAAATCGTGGTCAAAACTTTTTTTCTTGTTATCACTAAAATATTACATAATTTTTATGTTGACAAAGTTATTTTGCTTAATATTTTTTGTGGAAACCATGATACATTTTTTTCAGGATTTTTGGATGAACAGAAAGTTTTTCATTTGAAATTTAAATCTTTTGAAACATTATTAATGTCTTTATTGTCATTTTTTTAATTGAATGTGTCCTTGCTGAATTGAAGTATTAATTTTAAATTAAAGTATTTTTTCTTAAATCGTACCAACCATTTTTACAATTTTAAATATTACATGGGGGTATATTACCCATCTTACCCTACAAGGTATCAAAGGCAAGTGTAGCAAGTGCATAACTAACCACAAACATTCAAAAATGCACAAGAATCCTCTCAAAACGGAAGCTCAAAAAAAGAATGAAAAACTCTTCATGCTGAAGTTTAATAACATAATATGTGCTAGGAGTGGGTGTAGGATGTGGTCATACTTGGCCAGAGGCCGGCGAGCCCGGTTAACAGCGTCCAGATCAGCATAGCGCAGGTCCAGCTGGCAGCCCACCAGGATGATCGGGGTGCGGGGACAGAAGTGCTTAATCTCAGGGAACCACATCGTGCGGACATGGCGCAGGGAGTTCGGATTGGCCAAAGAGAAGCACAGCACTACCACATCTGATCTAAACACACACAGAGAAAGAAATATATTTAAGAGAATACATCCGAAGGGATCATGTAATAGGCAGGAAATTGGCAAACCCTGGACACTAATCGTCCCACACAGAGGCTTTAAAATGGACAGTGAATCACTGTTATTGGAATAAAAACTGTGAAATCCAACAAACAAAACTACTGTGAGCTACAAACAGATTTCCTTGGTTTCCAAATGTCATAAGTCCAGACTTATTATGTATATTTTTATATTATATTATATTATAGAGAATGATTTGACAAGTGTATTGTTGTGGCACAATTGTATGCAAAGTGATATTTATTTACCATTATTTTAGTTATGGCTTTAATATTAATTTTGCATATCCAAATGCAAATCCAAAGATCACCAGCTCACTAATCATAATAAGTCTTTTATATAATGAAAGTCGCGGTATGATCATAAAGAAACAGTGAGCGAGTGAGCAGCCAAATAGAGTAATGATTGTGTGATTGCGTGTGTATTAATGCATGTGTGCTCTTCCAGTGAATGTGTCTGCATGCAAGGTGTTGCGCACATCATTAAAGCATCTCATCTGACTCAATAACCAGCGCTGGTCTAATAATAGCGAGTCGTCCGACCATGTCATATTTCACAGCTGCACTCACAAGCTCATCATGTGAGTGAGACCAGCATACACAAGAATGACTAATGGACCACCGCATTGTTGTTGTAATGTAAACAAACTTGGTCTAGCTAGCAAGCTGCTGTCCTGCAGAGTTTAGCTTCAACCCTAATCAAACAAACCTGAACAAGCCAATCAATGTCTTCAGGATTACTAAGGCTACAGGCAGGTAAGGGTTTTTTTCAGAGTTGGAGCTAAACTCTGCAGGACAGCGGCTCTCTAGGACCGAACTTGCCTACCCCTGAGCGGATCTCATCACAGTTATGCATTTACACTGGAAAGTGCTCATGACATGTGCATGTTTATATAATATGACAGAGAGTGTTTCCCAGACAACATTTCTAAGAGATTTTCTTTCTTTCTTTGATATAATCTTTCTGGGAAATACTTATTGACAACAAAGTGAAAATCTAGAACTATTACTTTTTTTAAACAATATGGCTTCTCAAAAATGTTGTTTTATTATTGGCGAACACCTCATGTGTGATGATTAAACAATGCAATTTCCCTGAAAACATAAAATTAGCAAAGTGGACAATTATAACATGTTGACTTCCTTTAGAAAATATATGGTAATGTTGACATTGCAATGGGATTGCCCATATACAGTCTGAGCAAGATCAGCTAAGCCTCATTACTAAACTAAGACAGCATTTTAAGTCATACTAGCAGGGTTTGAAATTAACACCTGCCAACCCGCCAAATGTGGGTAAAAATCAACTGTGGCGGGTAATGCTGTCAAATCACTAGCCAATTTCGCGGGTTACTCATAATGTTTACTAACTTATGCTGGGGAAGTTTGTGTAAGCCAAATCTGTGCATTTAGCGTGAATACTCAGTCATCATGATATATTAAATACAGCGTATTGTGCAGAATCTGCACAAATCTCTGGCTTACTTGAACATGCACATCACTACGCAACAAATAATGGCACGCGCTTGTTCGTTTGCATTGAATCAATAGCGAATATTAAAATGCATTTGGTTAACAGAAAAGTTATTGTTATTTTCCAACATCTAACTTTTTATTGATGTTCTTTTTACTGTATTGATCTGTCCACGTAAAACACATTTTTGGTGATGAGGATGAAAGAAGAAGGGAGGAGATGGCTGGATGAAAGGATTTTGTTAAATAAGAAATTAATGTAATGCAAATGTTATTATATATAGGATGTGTCTCATTCAGAACTTCTACTAGCCAAAAAAAAGAAAAAGAAAAGAGAAATTACCAGATATAAGTGTATATTTATATACTGCATATATATATATATATATATATATATATATATATATATATATATATATATATATATATATATATATATATATATATATATATAAGCTGTGATAGTTAATCTGGTTCATTTCTTTTTGGCTAGTAGAAGTTCTGAATGGCCGGTAACTTAAAAATTTAGTAGCCAAATTGGCCGGTGAGTGAAAAAGTTCATTTCAAACCCTACATACTAGGTATATGTGCAAATAAACTTACAGCCTCCAGGGGTCAAAGTCGACATCCTATTGTCTGTGTCTCTAGTGTGTGTATGTTCATGAACATGGGAATGTTTGCAAGAATATGTGGAAATGGGTCAGCGATAAGACAAACAAAAAACAGACTGACACACCACAACCACAGATGTATCCACAATCATTCACCATTTCTCAGTGAATAATAACTGCTGTAAAAACGAGTGCTGAGGGTCATACAGGACTGTGTTATGTAATCAGTGTGTGTGGTGTTCTGTAGCGCTATGTAGAGCATGTCTAAGTTCAAACTCCTGACTGCGGGTTTGCTTGACTACACTTTAAACAGTCTTGATCTCAGAGACACATCTTAACATACAAATAAGCCTAAATATTCTAAGAAAAACAAACAAACAAACAAACATATATAACAAAGAATATAACTTGTGGCCGTACCATAGCACGAGGATGGTATCAGTTTGTGTGTGTGTGTGTGGCCTGGTAAACTCTACATTGTGGGGAAAAAATGTCCCCACTATGATGGCAATATCCAAAATCCTTGTGGGAGCATTTTTTGGTCCCCATGAGGAAAACAGCTTATAAATCAAATTAAGTGATGTTTTTTGAAAATGTAAAAATGCAGAAAGTTTTGTGTAATGGGTTTAGGGGTAGGGTTAGTGTAAGGGGATATAATATACAGTTTGTACAGTATAAAATAATTATGTCTATGGAAAGTCCCCATTAAACATGAAAACACGCGTTGTGTGTGTGTGTATGATGATATGTATGTATAAATATGTGTCAGCTCGTGGAAGAGGGCTTCCCCACTGAGTCACGGTTCCTCCAGAGGCTTTTTCCTTATCTACCTAAACATCGATCTAAATAAGTTAAGATCGTTTCACAATGTGTTTTGTCAGTTTATGTTCACAAATAATTAATGGACTCAGCTAGGCTTTGATAAACATTTTCAAGAAATGTTAAATGTGTCTGTGTGGGTGTGTATTTAGCTTGAGTAACAGACACTGGGGGTGAAGGTCATCTGATTCTTTTTCCATAACGGCACCAGCATTAATAATGTTTTATCAGCTGACTGCATCTGCCTCAGTACACTGCATCTGCCTCAGTACTCTGCACACACATAGGACGTGTCTGATCTCACAGACACACATCCTGTTGATTCATTCACACAGATTTCTCTTTGTCTTCCACTCCCTCTCTCTCTCTCTCTCTCTCTCTCTCTCTATCTATCTCTCTCTCTCTCTCTGTGTCTGTCACACAAGACATATACTAAAAACAAATTCACAACGCTATAACATTATTGATGAATTACATAATCAAAACATCACTTGTCATGATCTTAGTCTACTATGTACAACACCATTCAAAAGTTTGGGCTCAGTAAGATTTTTTTTTTAATAAATTAATCCTTTTATTTAGCAAGTATGCATTAAATTGATCAAAAGTATTTGAGACATTTACAATGTTACAAAAGATTTCTATATCAAATAAATAGTTATTTTGAACTTTCTATTTATCAAAGAATTCTGAAAAAATTATTGGTTTTACAAAAAAAATTAAGCATCACAACCGTTTTCAACATTAATAGTAATAAGAAATGTTTCTTCAGCACCAGATCAGCATATTAGAATGATTTCTATAGGATCATGTGACACCGAAGAGTAATTGAAAATTCAGCTTGCCTTCACAATAATACTGTGTTAACAGTATTTTTTATTAAATAAACACAGCCTTGGTGAATATAAGAGAAACATTTTCAAAAACAGTACATACATCTTACTGACCTCAAACTTTTGAACGGTCGTGCGTATGGTTAAAGATTTGGGCTGGAACAGGTTCAGTCCCAGTTTTTTTCTCAGAAAATGAGCATTTACTGAAAAACATTAAGTATTAAGAAAAAAAGTATATGTGGGCAAAATGCATCCACTAAATATATTTATTGCTTGATAGTTTGTATTTAATGCAATGAAATCATTTTATGGCAGGTTTGGTTTGAATAAAACAAACTCTTGTGTGATTGCCCTGTTAATGCAGTTCATTTGAATAAGATGCCATCAGAACCTTGGTGCCCACCAAACAAGCGGGATTCAGACTGCTGAAAAGTTGGGTCTGGCGCTGTTTTAACTCTTTTATAATTCATTTTATAAGCTCTTCACGAGTTCTCAGCTGGTAATAATGCTATCATATGGATGCGTTTAGCCCAGCACACAGCATTGTTTTGAATGTTCGATAAGTTCTGTCACAAAATGTACGTCATAAAAGCCGTTTGTTTTGTTTTTGTATCTTCAGGTTTGGTCTTAAAAATGACAGTGTGCATGTTAAGCGAACCATGACTAAATGCATCATTTTAATTTTTGGTCCGGACCAAAACAAGGAAGAGAACCGAACTACAAGTATGAACACACCCTTAGATGTAAACACTGTAAGCATTTAGGATCAGTGTCAATCTCCCTCATTCTCTGACCCATCTCTCTGCTTGGTTTAGCAGCTACTGTGATCTGCTGCACTGCCCAGAGCCAAAGCACCACTGCTGATCCACTGATCCTCCGCTGCCCTGCACTGCGCTAAGAATAAGAGCCTCCACGCAGTGCTCTTTGGCTAGGCTTACAGCACATTACCTTCCCAGCTGGGAGGATTAGGGCAATAATCAAAGCTTGGCAGGGCAACACATACCACAGCCAAGAGTGGAGCGAAATCAGAAAAAAACTAATGGAAGATTGATCTGAGCAACGGTATTGTGGGACATGAATTGCGTGTGTGTATCAAGACAACGGTTCTATGACATGGTTTATTGGTAACTCGTAGTGCCATGACGACACACTATGAGTTCAAATCCAGTTCCATGTTGTGTAACTGACCTGCCATAAGCAAAGCGTCTGTCTTTGTGATGATCTCCAAATGTGTCCCACAGCCTGAGAGAGACACTGACCTCGTCCACCACGTCTCGTGACCTCTCCAGCACCTAGTTAAGTAAGGTTTCATTTTACCACATTATATTTATTATATTCAGCTTTATTAAACTGGCAAGTTTATAAAGAACAAATGTCATATTTGAAATTGCCTGGCTAGGATTATGACAGTTAACAAAGTAAAAAGTCAAACTAAATGAGCTTAATATATATATTACAAATAAATGAACAACTATTACAAGTAAACAAATCGTATATATATTTATACCATTTATAACTAATTTATATAAACTAAAGAATACATTTATATACTAAAGTATATACAGGAAATACACTGGTTAAACAGGTTGTACTCAATTGCCATGCATGTACAGTTATAATACACTATTTATGTCGACACTTAATGCTCTTCAACATGTACACAATATGCCAAAGGTCTGCCCACCTCCTGGCACACACGGTATTGGTCGATGGCCCAGACAGTTGGCACGTGGGTGGCAAGCAGTTGGTACTGAGTAAGGGTGGCATTGCAAGCACGGGCACAGATCAGCCGAGTCTTGCCCACCGCATTATCACCCACCACCACACACTTTATGGTCTCCACATTGGGTCGCTCATAATCTGTGTCTATATCCATGGAGAGGGCCCTGAAAGACAGCAAAATAGAGAGAAATAGTTGAAGTACTGCTAATCATTATTATATTGACGAAAAATAGGATAAAACAGTTTATCCTGAACGTATAAACTCAGTTTCTAATACATTTCCATTTAATTTACTATGAAGTCCAAACAAAACAAAAAAACAACCTAAAAATGATGGTAGAAAAAACGATAATAATTCACTCCATTTATTGTGGTTACTCAAAACAACATCCACAGTAATGAATGGCGTCATCAATACTGACTACTCATTCACCAAATGTTCAAAGTTTAAACAAAAATCTGGGTCAGGTGCTATTTCTGTCTGAGGAAGGAACAACAAAGACAGCCAACACAGTTCTGCACTTGGCTGTGCAGCGTCAGTCGGCGTGAACAAGTGCATCTAGCACTTTTTCTTTCTTTCGGAAGAATCCACCTGAAGCTAAGGTCAAAGCCCAGTGGTAATGCTGATTTGTATGAGAGAACACAGCTAAACCAGACAGCATTAATTCTCATGCTTTGCCCGGGTTCCTGAAACAAACTGCGTTAACACAAACGCTCACATAAACATTGACTTAAACCTCCTAAGTATCAAGACTGCAGCTCTCTGCAGAGAAAAGAGAAAAAAAACCTGCTGAGGGATGCATCTGAAACAAATCATTAGGAGACCTGCGTGCCAACACGTACGACTGTAACTTAATATCCATGACAACTAGCAAGTTCTCATTTAGGTTCAAACAAAACCAAGCAACGTGAGATGTGCTTTTTTTTACCCCTAAAACAATGAGAGATTTTTATTTTGTAATGAATGCAGACATTTGTTCAAAAAGCTGAACTGCTTTGCTTCAAGAAGTCACATAAATTTGAGCAAGTGCACAGAGCTGTAAAAAAAAAAAAAAAATCAATATTAATACACCACTATGCTAAAAGAGGCTGTATAAAATTAAATACAAATGATTTTGGGAACCGTAACTCCTCTGTGGCTTTAAAGGTGCACCCGCTATGGCTTGAATTACCCTTGATAAATGCACTAAAAGTGTCCTGAGCTGCACAAATCAATTAGCTTTCCGGGAAACAATAAAACATTTCCATGAATAAACACACAGGCAACACTCTTGGCCGACTAAGAGCCGTGCATTCTTTTGATACAGCTAAAGTGATACAGCTATATACATTACAAGCCGTCATGAGCTCCGCTGTCCAAGACAGCTAACGTTCCATAAAAAGAGCTCATGAAAGATTAATACGCCACTGTTTATTGTTCCACTGACAAAGACGTCACAGTTCTGGCCTCCAGTGACATACTGGGGACTAAAAATGATTCTCATTCTTTCAATTCATTCTGAGTAGCAAGGTGGCAATTCTGACAAAGATTAGTAATGTGTCAAAATGGCCTATAATAGGTCAAGAGACATTTTATCTAGAGCAGCAGGGCTCAGTTAATTCCTCATGAGGGGAATGTTACAGCCAGTTTTAAGATTTTGGATCAGTGAAGAAGGTTTAAGAGACACCTCTGTGAAATGTTGTCAGTGTTAAGGGTGCTCTGGAGGAAGCTTCTTTAACGGGTTACATAACGGTGGCACTACGGGCTGATGAAGCTGAGCTGTAAATGTGACTAGATCTTTCTGTTATCTAACAGCAATCTTTATAGCTGTTGTGTGAGAGTCACATTTATAGAGGATGCTATTAAGGTGAAGATTATCATGACTGCATTTTTTTTAAAATAATAATTGGGAGATCTTTACCAAATTTTCCAAAAAAAACAGACTTGAGTATGTTTCCTCAGCGTGCAAAAAGTGGGGCGGTGGTACAGAGGTGTGAGTGCAAGCTTATGCACTTTGAACAATCAACCACAATGTTTCCACTATTTAACACTCTACAAAAAAAAGTATTCTCGTCGCTTGATAAACTTAAGGTTGAGCCACTGTAGTCACTTGGACTATTTTAACGATGTCTTTACTAACTTTTCTGGGCCGGCAGATGCAATTACCTAGCAGCCTATGAAGGAGTGAGCCAGCGCTCAGATTTCATATCTTAATTTGTAGCCTGACAAGCCAGACCCACATCAAGATGTTGGGTCTGGGAACACACCATTGGCAGGGCTCAATCCGAGGGGCGGGATAAACGGTTGTCTTTCAAATTCCCTCTGCACGCAATAGGATAGCGCTAACCAACCAGAAGAAGGTGACGTAGTCAGAGCGACAAACTTCAGAGCCGTTCATTGTTCTTTTCTCAAAGAAAAGGTTAACTCCAAGTCTTCCGGAGTCGCGGCCAAAGCCGATTTGAAAGACCGCTGTTCGCCAGCAGCAGCAGCAGCCGCCATCTTCTTTGTTTTCAAATAGCAGGGAATTCATGCGGAACCATCGCAACTCTGCCGTCATTATGTTAAGCCCGCCCACCGACTCTATACACGATGTGATTGGCCTGACTAGAGTTTGTTTTTTCCAGCTCGCAAGCCAACAGAGAGTTGCTAGACGACCCTGGCTGCAAATTACATTTTCTGCCACTAGGGTGCGTCTAGTTCCCTTTCAAGGCGGTCACTTCGACATTTACGTCGATGACGTAGTATGGGAACTCCTCCCCTTCTTCACTTCTGCTGAAATCTTATGGGCTAACGCCAGCTGGAGACAGCTGGCCAATTGACGCAAAATATGCAAATACTGACACGCCTGCTGGCAGTATAAATTGCATATGCACGTCAATTGCATCAGAATCCTTTTCTTCACGCTCAAATCGACGTGTGCTTCGAATTGGAAGATATTCTACAAATCTCGCCATCGTCGAAGGTGCATCTGAAGATACCTCACTGTCTTTGGCATCCGATGGCATCCATCTGTAACTTGTGTTCGGGGCCTATCGTGGCGCCCGACACCCATTTGTTCTGCGTTGCCTGCATGGGCCTGGCCCACGCCGAGACGGCCCTGTCGGACGACCTCGTGTGCGCCCACTGCGCGGACATGCCAGTGCGCGCCCTTAAGGCCAGGAGAGAAACGGCTCGAGCAGCTGCAGGGATTGGGCCCACTGCCGCCAACGAGCCGCTGGTGGGCCCACCCACCCCCAGGGAAAGGGAGCTCGACGCCGTCAGCTTCTCGGACGCTAGCTCCGCTCAGCTACGGACCTTGCACTGATGGCCACTAAACGCTCAGCGCAAGCCATCGGTCGCTCCATGGGGTTTCTGGTCGTCCTCCACAGGCACCTGTGGCTGACACTCTCCGATGTCAAGGATTCCGACCGGAAAACCCTGCTTAATGCTCCCATCACCCCAGCCGGTCTCTTTGGGAACGCGGTGGAGGCTGTCACGGAGCGTTTCTCGGAGACCCAGAAACGCGCTAAAGCTATGAGCCACGTGATCCCGCGTCGAGCGCCCCCAGCTCGTCAGCGTTCGCGCTCGTCATCGGCTAGCCGGGGCCAGCCCCAGAGCTCGGTGAGACAATCGGCTGCGCCGCGCACCGAGCCGGATGCTCGCGCTTCCCGGGGCAGGCAGTGGCAGGGACCCGGGAGAAAGAGCCAGGGCCAGAGAAGGAGCCCGCGCCGAGGGAAGGTCAGCGCGCCCCCCTCCGCGTCAAAGCCTTCTTCCTGACGGAGCGGCCAAGAGGAAGAGAGAGCGCGAAGGAGGACCGGACTCCAAGCGCCGTGTTCTTATGCATCGTGTCCCTCATGTTCAGTCGAGCGACGACGGCATATGTGTGAATGTTGTTTGTTCAAACAAAAAATTAATAAAAGCATGTATCCCTTCACAAAAAGAGCTTTTTCTTCCTCTTACACCTCACATTGTGTCACCCGCCCTTTCACGAGACAGCGCAGGGTCACACTCGATGACTATAATGGCATCTCATGGGCACGAGATCGCCAGCACTACACTCAGCCCACTGCGAGCCGCATTCCCACCAGGGCTATCAGCCTCGCGGGAGTGCGGCTCCAGTCTAAACACTACACTGGGGGCGGCTATGACCGCAGTTCGAGCTCGCACTCTGAGTCATTTTCTAGGTGCGTGGGAATCAATTCCAGGCATTTCACCGTGGGTGTTGGGCTTAATTCGTCACGGGTATTCGCTTCAGTTCAGACGCAGACCACCCCGTTTCAACGGCGTGATCCCGTCATTAACTTTGCCCCAAAACGTTCCCGTTCTGAGACAGGAAGTTCTCAGTCTGCTCGAGAAAGGAGCGATAGAACCGGTTCCCCCGATCGAGAGGGAGAGCGGTTTCTACAGCCGCTACTTTGTGGTACCCAAGAGAGGGGGGGGTCTCCGTCCGATCCTGGACCTGAGACCCATAAACCGAGCACTTCACAAGCGCGCGTTCAAAATGACAACTTTGAAGCAGATTCTGGCGCAAGTTCGTCCCGGGGATTGGTTCGCTTCAGTGGATTTAAAGGACGCGTACTTTCATATCCAGATAGCAGCGCGTCACAGGCGCTTTCTGAGGTTCGCGTTCGAGGGCACAGCTTATCAGTACTCAGTACTCCCGTTCGGACTGGCTCTGGCCCCCCGCACCTTTTCGAAGTGTGTGGACGCGGCGCTTTCTCCCCTCAGGTCGAGCGGAATGCGCATCCTAAATTATCTGGACGATTGCTTGATTCTAGCCCACTCGCGAGAGGTGCTAATCGGTCATGTGGAAATACTACTTCGTCACCTGGACTCGCTGGGGATGCGTGTAAACGAACAGAAAAGCGTGTTCACACCGAGTCAGACCACAACATTTCTGGGAGTGTGCTTGAACTCTATAACGATGCGAGCCCATCTCTCTCAAGAGCGCATAAGGTCTCTGACATTGTCTCTGGACCGTTTCAGACCGGGCAGGTCTGTGCCACTAAAGGAATTTCAGAGGCTGTTAGGTCTGTTGGCGGCAGCCTCCCCAGTGTGTCATCTGGGGCTGTTGCATATGCGCCCTCTTCAAATCTGGTTGAAGCTCCGAGTCCCTCGGGGGGCGTGGTCGTCCGGACTCAGGCGCATCACGGTCACCCGCAGCTGCATTCGCACTTTGGTACTGTGGAAAAACCCAGCGTTATT